TAAAGTGATTAATGACAAAAATGTGAAGCCCAAATCTGTACTTGTTTTTAGATGAAAGTACTACTTTGTTAAAGGTAAAAATCTATGGAAGGTTTTAAAGTGATTAATGACAAAAATGTGAAGCCCAAATCTATACTTGTTTTTAGATGAAAGTACTACTTTGTTAAAGGTATTAACTTATGGAATTAATTAACTGATGATTTAATATGCCAATTTTAATTTCTCCAACCTCTTGTTGAATAGATATACGACTTTATATATAAGTTAACATACTGATTTTGACTGTTCAGAACAAGGTATGGTCTTGATATGTAAAATGTCTGTGTCATTTTACTTGATCCTACGTACATACAGTTTCCAACTGTTTTCCAAAAGGTTTGTTTATAACATTTTACAATCAAAGCTCCAATGCAAACAATAACCCGAATTAAGATTTCCCAAAACTATCCTTTCCAAACATTTAAAAACAATAAACTCCTAACATTATCACTGAATTGTTGCTAGCACAACAACAACAAAAAGACGTTGTCTTTAATCAAACTCATACATTTGTTTCTGCAATAGCACATCACCATATCTGCCCATCAAATTTATAAGGAACTAGCTGGAGTACTCGTCCTCTGGACGGAAGTTATGTAAATTCACTATTAATAAAAAAATTATCTTAGAACATGAAAAATTGCTTCCCTTGTACGTAATTGTAAAAAACGCAAAAACTGCAAAACACAAAATGTGAAACCGCACATTTGTACGCATCTCCCCAAAGACCCAACAAACCTTCTTGCCAAATTTGGTGAAGATCCATCAAAAGGGGGCGAAGTAGTGGTAAAAAACGCAAAACTGGAGATTTGTATGTACCCCCGTATGAACCCCCACACTATTTTAGTGAACATCCATCCACACCCTGCGAAGTAGTTACACGAACAGACAACGGAGAGTGCTATTATATTTATATAGATAAATCATGTTTTAAAACCATACAAAATATGTTATTAACATTATTAGGCATTTAACAGTTATATCTACAGAAACATTGCCAATATTGAAGAATCACCTTATTCCTTAACAATGCAACAAAAGAAAACATTTTACTGAGGGCAGATTGTCTGAAAATGCGAAAGTTTTAACGTAGGTGTTGTTAATTCAACCAAACTTTACTTGCCCTGTTTGCAACACACGAGTGTTTAGTTTGAATACCCCGCGGTCACCTAATCTACTCGCAAAACGTACTTCTGCCTCAAAATCGATGAGTCAACATCTGCCATTGAACCATCTGCTCTTGCTCCAACGAACAAGGACATATATGTGTACATGTTGTACACATAATTTTGGACACGTGCAGCGTAACTTTACTCAGGTTGTATGAGGACCTGTGATGAACTTTTATAAAATGTTTCCAAACATCTGAGGATTGAAATTATTATTAGAAACATAAAGCTGGTGTTTTACTACTATTATATTAGCGTTTCAAACTTCATGCCATCTCAGCTTGGTTGACGAAAATATTTTTTGATAAGACTTTGTAAATATTTGGTTCCCAATAGCAATATAAGCTAACAGTAGTGCTTACAAACATTGATATTTACCATCTCACACACTGTAACAAAGCAAAGGCATAATGTATTACAAAATATGACATGTATCATAAATTTATTGCATGTGAACACAAATACTGACTTACCTTCATTAATTATTTTCTCTACATTATCGAATTCACAATATATTTTCAATCTCAAAAACCAGCAAGATGATTAAGCTTTAAAATTTTATTTTTTTAACAATATTAAAACCATAAACTGATAAACAGTATTCGAGCCATGTTATTGATTTCGATAAAAATGTGACGCTAACGATGCGATTTTTTGGAATAAGTACAGAAGATTAAAATATTAGTTTCTCTAAATATCCACTTCTATTCCATCCTTCCCAAGAGCACAACTTTTATAGAGAACGGCAACTTATTTCAGAATCTAGGCGCAAAGCTACACAAAGGGCTATCTGCGCATAGCGTCCCCCATTTTTAAATGACAGACTCTGGGAAAAATGATTAATCAACAGCACCCACCGCCAACTGTTGTCTGACCAAACAGTGGGACTTGACCATCATTCATATAGCACAGCTACGGCTTCAAATTGCGAAGAGCGATTTTGCGCCAACAGTCCACGAACAAGGAATCATCGGAATCAGTCTGGGCACGCTAACCACCTCGTTACACTTGGTCAATGAACAGAAGTAAACCCCTAAAATATCCTACTTTAATTGCAACAAAGTTCAAATATACATTAGAAACGTTTTGATCCCACTCACAATTCTGGTTAATTCAACAATACAGTCTAAATTATGTTACTTGAAATTTGATTTAACACATGGTCCATTAAATTAAATAGTCGTATGGTTTGTTACATTTTCACACACTACCCTGTAAATCTGTAACTAATATGCAAGACTAATGAATGAAAAATTTAGAAAGTAGAAAAGCGAAAATAAGTTTATTATATATTCAAACAAAATTAAATCATACTAGCAATAGTTCTATACAACTTTGAAAGTATTTACTCAGACTTAGTGTATTCGAGTTTACTATATATCGCGTTCTGCTTTTTTATCCAGAAATATGAAAGCACTATTGTTACTTAGTTTTCCGACAAAAATGAAAACTAGTTTTATATTCGATAAACTCCCTGTTTTCACACGACTGGATTTGAAAATTCGAACTTGTATCAAAGTTGTAAGACTCTGACTCAGCACTGAGTCTAAATCTATTTCGTATTTGTAACTTACAATGTAAGCGTGCAAAAAAATCTATACTTTGTAAAACTAAAAGTAAGACTATAGGTGTAATACTAATATAATTAAAACTGACGTTAGAAAGTAAAACTAAAACACCTGGTAGTCGTTAAATGCTGTAAACAAGTTGTAGTTCCAAGATAAGCTTCAGACGTAACCTGTTGTTCTGCACAAATTTTAAATAATCTTAATTTTAGTGGTCCATATATAAATATGGTATGAGCATAACATTAATCATTCAGTAAGTTCCTCGCCATACTACTATTTACTATAGTATAGATTGTGATACAAGCGTAAAAAAATCACACTCAGTCAAGGATTGCCGATGTCACTTTATAATACTTATATGGTGTTTAAGATTAGAGAAATACAACCTAAAATTTAAGTTAAATTTAACTTTAAACTGAGTAACTCACAACATAACAATTAATTAACATAACTTATTAACATGTAACGTTACGTCTAACGTATGTATGAAGTAACACTAACGGTGTTATTACTATTAATAATAATAAAATTAACCTACATACATTCATTAGATGAAAGTGAAACTCTGAATCATGAATGCCTTCTTTTGCAAAACACATTAAATAAAAATATTATTGGTACTGAGGTAAGCTTATTTTTCACCAGTAAGTTAGAACGTAAATTACCATTCACTGCAACTACGATAGTAAACAGTATTACTACTTACGTAACTTAAACTAAAGTTTCGCACTGTCTGGCAGTAAGTATAGACTCACTTTATTTATTCAAGTCCTATGAAACCAGCTGCTTCTCCTCGTTTCCTTAGGCTAAACCTCTGTAGCTTTGTCCGACCCTAGTTCTGTAGTTGTATTTGTTAGCCTGGAGCACTGCAGGCTGCAGACTGGTGGCATTACTAATAATAAGTAATATCAGCACTGCATAGTGTAAGTTGATGCAACAATCATCTCGAAATATAATTGTTATATTAAGAGATTAAATAAACAGTTTTACTTACCGAGTATATGCAGCTTTACGCATGACTAGACATGTCCTTAATAACAAAAAAGTAATGCACTAAACAATAATAAGGCCGTGTTCTGGCAAATTTATTGTAACATCTATTAGGCCTAAACCTAATCTAGCATTTCTCGATACGTACAAGTATGGCGGACTTGCGAGTTAAATTTGCGCGCTGCGGCATCGTCTACCTAAAACGAAGTTTTTGATTGGTTAGAAATTTCTCATCGACGTTAAAGACGATTGGTTGACTGAATTAACCACTTACAGTTGCTGCGAAAGTCGCTATAGAAATGTTTTCCTCTCCTTAAAACATGTATATGTTATTTATTTGTCTTACGTTTAAAAATTAGTGTGTGTGTATTTTTTCATAGTTTCTTTTTTTCAGTATATAACTTGAGACTCTTATGATACTTGATAAACATAGTTTCATAGCTATATTACAAGCAAATTAGTTTCAAAACGTGGGAATAAATTAATAAAAGGTAGAAAAATGAAATATATCGTAATCATTACACCAATGTATTTACAAAAATGTTTATTGAATGTTTACGCCGAGACGCTGATTTCTCAATTTGCTATTCGATGAAAAGTGTTAGTGAACTTGACACCGATTAATTCATGCAGTATTAACTAATGAAAAGGTCATTTTGGGAACAATGAAAAACTCAAAATGATTTTTGAACGTTTTAAAAGCTGTGAAAATTGAGTTCTGCCCGTGTAATTCTATGTTCGAGCCCCCCCCAGTGGCACAGCGGTATGTCTGCGGACTTACAACGCTAGAATCCGGGTTTCGATACCACTGGTGGGCAGAGCACAGATGGCCCATTGTGTAGCTTTGTGCTTAATTACAAATAAACAAACAATTCTATGTTCGATGCTAAGGACAAAGTAATTGTCATGACTCATTTTGATTAGTACTTTTTCTTTAGTCCCCCGGTAGATCAATGGTAATTTTACAAACTTTCAACGCTAAAATCAGGGTTCGATTCCCCGCGGTAGACTAAGTGCAGACAGTCCATTGTGCAGCTTTACACTAAGATCAACAACAAGTTTTTGTTTATATCTCCCACGGTGGCAAAAGTAGCTTGTATGTGACTGCCTATTGTTTCAACTGTTTCTTTGTAATAAACATAGAAATTATAAAACAATTAACAATCTTTTTAAAGTTTTACGAGAATATAAACTTTAATTTACTTTTGTAGTAACTAAAAACTAAGCAGTCAAATAACTTTCTTTTTCAACGTGTTATTGTTGGCATGTCACAAGAACATATTCCTGATTCCCCCATCACCACACTTATTCGCTCAGCGGCAAGTTTGAAGACTTATAGCTCTAAAAATCGGGTTTCGACACCCGTGATGGGCACGGCACAGCTAGCACAT